TACTTCTATCTCAATAGAAAATCTGTCAGATCTGACAAAGTAAACCTGTTAGCTGCTCTTGAAAAGGACCTCCAATCAGTGGTTAACTGTGGCAGGAAATGGCTTGTAAATGTTAATGCCTCCAAAACAAAACTGCTCTCATTTAACCACCATAGAGAAAATGTTCTGCCTGCTATCAGCATGGCTGTCCGGGAGAGCAAAACACACTGCTTTCTTGGCCTCATGTTTTCAACTGACTTAAAGTGGACCAACTATATTGAATCAATAGCTGAATCTACTGCTAGGAAAGTTCGGTCACTGTGTCGTGCCAGAAGTTTTTTTTCTCGTCAGAGACCATCTTGCATATTTACAAATCTACCGTGTATTGAATACTGTTGCTATATCTGGTCAGGTGCTCCTGCTATTCATCTCGAGGCTCCTGACAAAATCCAATGAAGTAATCTGTAATGTAGCAAACATTTTTGTTGATGACACTATCATTTACTCCTGTCTCAATAGCAAATCCGTCAGAGCTGACAAAGCTGGCAGATTGCTCTTGAAAAGAACCTGCAAGTCGTTTTGAACGGGCTCGCTTCCAGATCCTTTCAAACAAACGCGGGTTGTCTCCCAAGGATCGATCCTGGGTCCTAGGCTGTTTCTCATCTTCATCAATGATCTATTTGACGTCATCAGTTCCCAAGTAAGCCTTTTCGCTAGACTCCTGGAGAGCAAAACACTGTGTCTTCTTGGGCTCATGTTTTCAACTGATTTCATGTGGAGCAACTACATTGAATCAATAGCTGCATCTACTGCAAGGAAAGTTGGATCACTGTGTCGTGCCAGAAGTTTTTTTTTTTCTCGTCAGAGTCCATCTTGAACATTTACAAATCTACCGCGCGTTGAATACTGTTGTGATATTTGGCCAGGGGCCCCTGCTACTCATCTTGAGGCTCCTGGCAAAATCCAGTGAAGGATCTGCAATATAATAGATCCTGACTTGACATCTCGACATCAGTCACTCTCTCACCGATGTCATGTGGCTACTCTCTGTTTTTTTTTTTTTTCCAAATATTTTTTCAACTGATACTTCTAACGTTCCGTTTAAACGAGAATTTTTGCCTGGTTCCTTGAATTTCACGCGTCAATCGCCAATTTTCCCGCCTCCGTCTATTCTCGGTTTGGGGATGGCATCTCAGATCCCAGCCTTTTTCACTGTTTATCTAAACATTGATTTTGAATTTAATTTATAAAAGAAAAAAAATACAAAAAATCGCTACCTTTATTTTCGCCATCATATGACTCAATATTTTCATCGCACTTCCAATATTTTCATGCGTTATCTGTAGAACTCCCTGATCATTCCGTTTTTCATCCCTTCAAAAATTTTTCATGCAAGGTCAATCGCCTTCGTTTCATCTTCTTGAATTTTCACCGTTCATATGACTTTTACCATTTCTTTGCCCTGGTCCACCAATATTTTCATGCAATATCCAATCTTTTCTCCCAGCATCACACTTGTAACTTCCATATGACAATATTTTCAATGGCATTTTTCCCCTGATCATATGACTTAATAATCCCTGGTCAATATTTTTCAAAAAAATGATTTTTCATCCCTGATCATATGGTTCATTCTCATCCCGCTATGACTCTTTTTCAACAAGATCATAGATTTAATATTTTCATCCTGTTTAGGACTGGGTTTTTTCATCCCTTCATATGACTCAATATTTTCTGTTTCAACTCAATATTTTCATCCCGTCTCCGTTTAAACTTTTCAATTTCATATCACAATATTTTCATGCTTGTCACCCGGTTCATCCCGTCAATCGCCAATTTTTCATCCCGTGGTCATATGACTCTATTCTCATGGTTTGGGGATGGACTTAATTTTCATCCCTGGTCATACGTTTTTTCAGTGTGCTAATATCTAAACATTGATTTTGAATTTCATTTATAAACAAGAAAAAAAAATACAAAAAAAATTTTCGCTATGACTTATTTTTCATCCCTGGCTGATCATATCATATGACTCAATATTTTCATCCCTGGTCATATGACTCAATATTTTCATGCGTTATCATATGACTCAATATTTTCATGCCTTATCATATGACTCAATATTTTCATCCCTGATCATATGACTTAATATTTTCATCCCTGGTCATATGACTCAATATTTTCATGCGTTATCATATGACTCAATATTTTCATCCCTGATCATATGACTTAATATTTTCATCCCTGGTTAACTATTTTTCATCCCTGGTCATATGACTCAATATTTTCATGCGTTATCATATGACTCAATATTTTCATCCCTGATCATATGACTTAATATTTTCATCCCTGGTCATATGACTCAATATTTTCATGCGTTATCATATTTTCATCCCTGGTCATATGACTCAATTTTTCATCCCTGATCATATGACTTAATATTTCATCCCCTGGTCATATGACTCAATATTTTCATCATTGATCATTATTTTCATCACTGATCATCAATATTTTCATCCCTGGTCATATGACTCATTTTCATCCTGATCATTTTTTCATCCCTGGTCATAAGAAAAAGTGATTAAAACTATCGCCTTTTGCGTAGACAATTGTAAAGAAAAATAAATAAATAAATTCTAAATGCTCAAGCAGTAAATCAGTGAGTTAGCTATAATTACACTTCTCAGGTTTCTCTAATATTGGTGAATTTTCATTAAACTTATGGTATCTATGTTAGATTTCTTTTAGTTTTTTTTTTCCCTTTATTTAAGGTTGATTTATTTTGTTGATTTTCGCTCGTGACTGCCTTTGAATATGCACGGTTTGTCATTAAACATTGCGATATGCATATTTCTTTAAGGGAAAAAAGACATGTGGAAAAATATGTCTATCAGTTTAGCGCCAACTTATAAATTAATATTTTTTGGCTATGTCAACGAATAAACACCGAACAGGCAAGATTCTATCTATCTATCTATCTATCTATCTATCTATCTATCTATCTATCTAAGCCTGTTCATATCTATGTATCTAAGACTGTTCATATCTATCTATCTATCTATCTATCTATCTATCTATCTATCTAAGCCTGTTCATATCTATGTATCTAAGACTGTTCATATCTATCTATCTATCTATCTATCTATCTATCTAAGCCTGTTCATATCTATCTATCTATCTATCTAAGCCTGTTCATATTCATCTATCTATCTATCTATCTATCTAAGCATGTTCATGTCTATCTAAGCCTGTTCATATCTATCTATCTATCTATCTATCTATCTATGTATCTAAGACTGTTCATATCTATCTATCTATCTATCTATCTATCTATCTATCTATCTATCTATCTTTTTCAGGTGCTTATCTACCTATCTCCGCTATAAAATATTTCTTGTACGCAAGAAAAATGATAACGTAAAATCTATCTATCTATCTATCTATCTATCTATCTATCTATCTATCTATCTATTAGTCTGTTCATATTAAATTAACATTCTTTGGATATGTGAACAAATAAACATCGAACAGGCAAGAATATATTCGCGCAAATATTTGTCGATTGGCCGCTGTCAGAGTTACGTTCAACATTAATCATAAGATCGTGCGAATTCCACTCAGCAACGCTTACACATTCGTATGAAATACACATGCCGGGACGATAAAGTTCTACAAGCTGGACCTATGTGAATTTCTCAGTTTACCTACTTGGGTTTTCTGAGGAATCCTAATTCTTAATTCAACGATTGAATACGTTCCTTTCTTTTAATGTGTTCTGGAATCAAATCATTTCTCTTGTTATAAAATCAAATCAAATCTACATATTGAGAAAAACAAGAAAATATTATTATTAAAAATACACCTTTAAGTGCCGAATCTAGATGTGTCGACAGTGTTGTTGCTCCCATGTCACTAGAAGTTTCGGGGTCTAAATAAACAACAGACTTCTTCGATGGGCGACCCAACCGAATATGATCAGTATTCGGCCCGCACCCAGAATTAAAAAAATTGCTACTAGCTTTAGGACGGGCTTTATATAAGTTCCCCCAGAAAACGGCAACTAATCAAGACTTTACTTGGGCTATTCGATGTTATAGATCGGGTATGCTTGGTGGTACTGATCTTCCTACATGCGGCCAAGACAGGGTGGTTTTTGGAAGACGAGAAGAAAACAAACCAATATATATATATATATATATATATATATATATATATAGAAAGAGAGAGAGAGAGAGAGAGAGAGGGAGAGAGAGAGAGAGAGAAATGTCTTAAAAATAATTGTTGGACTTTGTCCATTTCATAATATATGACGTCATTTCTTTACATTTGATACACCATGAGCAGATATGAATGTACGTGAGAGATTCATGTAAGATTGAAGTTTAAAGAAAGTAAACTCGACCTTGCTAACCGAACGCTCCTCTGTGGCGGAAATGGTTGAGGCACGTCAGGCTATATGAGGGTTCCGTATAGGATACAGGTTCGAATCCTGTCGGAGAACGAGTATTTTCTATGAAAACTTCTCGGACATTCAGGCCGGTAAATATTGTTTAATACTGTTTATTATAAAAAAAACAGAGCATTTACTTAAATACTTGTATCTATAAAAAGAATGTATAAACATAAAAAAATGTCTTAATATATATATATATATATATATATATATATATATATATATATAATAAGATAGCACAGTAAAATTTACAATCCGGTGTTCTTAGTAAGTATTTTTATTTTTTAAAAAAAAGTGCTCGATACAAAACAGTAGAGCTTAATATTCTAACTTTTTTCTAGTTTAAAAATATGGTTCCTCTGCTACACAGGAATTACCACGTTTCAAAACAGAAAGTAAAGTTTTAAATTTAATTATAAAATTAAATTTAATATCCATAGCTGCGTTCCATTCTCAAGTATTTTTGATATAACGTATTTAGAAATTTACTCCATCTATAAGCACAGACAATCTTAATCTTAAATTGTTAAGGTTACGAAAAGTTTAATCATTTCGATAAGGGGTAATGGTTTTTTTAATTTCTCTAGACGACTTATGTATAAAAAATAAGTTGCTTTCAAGATTAGATTAAGTTATAGAGGGGTAGGGGTGCCTGCTCACAAAAATTGACATCCATTTTTCGCGTGTCGTCTGGGTTTTTCAATCATAAAATTGTGGGCCATTTTTATTTGGCCGCCTATTTTATAATTTTATACATAATGATTTCTTAAAAGGGTCATCTGAATATAAGTAAATCGTATTTTTAATATTTAAAATCTATTCCTAGAAATTTGAAGTACTTTTCTACTTCTAATAATTAATAGACTATACGTTACGTTTTAACAAATAGATTTAATTTTATAATTAAATTTAAGATCTTATTTCCTGTTTTGAATCATGGTAATTCCTGTGTAGTGATGGAAGCATAATTTTAAAATAGAAAATTATATATATATATATATATATATATATATATATATATGAAAAATATACTCATAAGGTCTGCTATATTTATGAGATAAAGTGGTCAATATCAGAGATAGAGCGTGTAAATATAAAAGTGGACATTGAAGTTTCATGCTAGATGCAATTAGCATGAAACAGCCTGTCGCCTCTAAGTGTTGACTTAATGTTCAGTTTTATATATATATATATATATATATATTTTTAAAGAAATTTTGTGGGTACAAAATTTAATGACAGAAATAAAAGTGTAAAACTTAATATTACTAGACATTAAAAAAAAAAAAAAATAGGCCAAGCAACAGGTTTCGCTCCCGTTCTTCAGGCTTCCACGGGAGATTTAATTAAAATACAGAAAATGTACGATAAAAAGGAAGTTGTGGAAGTGAGGAAAAAAAAATGGTCACAAGGAACTAGAGACAAATGACAGCGATCCCCAACAAACACTCACGTTGTTTACACAAAGAAGGCTTGTGGCACCCGATGTAAAGTGCCTCCAGAACCATAAGATGAAAGACTGTGACCGGGACAACACGGTGAACCAGTCGACACTAAATTTTGCTGCACATTCTCTGCTGTTTTATAGGTGTTTGTTGACCACGTTTGCCGTAGTCTCTGAATATGGAATCCAGTGAAGTCTGTAATCTGTTCAATATCAGAGTGTGCCAGTGAAGATTCAGAGAAAGTAGCGGCTGTTAAGTAATTCTTTCAGTCTTCCATATCAGGTTGGCAATGGAGGTATTTTGTGAGGAAAAACAAAATGTCTGCCTTTATACACGTCGGATTGAATATTTTGAGCATTCTGATTGGTTAACCCTTCTATTGGTGAACTATAAAATGAGTCATCTCATTTTGACTGGCTCACTAGTACATATACCCACCTGAAGTACGTGCAAAGGTCGATTCTGCCGGTCAGACTTGGAATCGACGGCGGTTGTCCGTGAAGGGCAGGGCGGAGGTGTGTGTTATACATTTTCCCCTGATTCTTTATCGGTTGTCCGTACTTCCTCTCTGTAAAGACCGCAGGAAGGTGCTCGAGCGATCGCTATCCTCCATTTTATGGAGGGGACGCGTGAATAGGGTCGACAGACGAGTCTGCACCAAACGTCCGTGTCATGGGGGCTGGGAATGCCGCACCTTATGAGTCACATCCGTGCCTCGAGGTTGGCTTTCCTACGGCGCGCATTGACTAGAGGAGATCCGATTCTGGAGGGGATTGTTAGGGACGCCTTCCCTAGCCTTACTATCAGTCCCCCCATCTCGCGGGTTGAGCGCCGTTGTAAACCCCGAGGTGAGTCGGATTTCCTCCGCGAGTGTCGGTTGGCCATGAAGGCCTTTCCCCGGTCCAGTGACCTTTCACGGCCTAGGAAGGTCTTCTATCGTGGTTTAGTGAAGCGTCGCGCGAAGGATAAACTACGTGATACGCTCGGCTTGTCGGAGGAGGAGTATCGCTCCTATTGGTCTTGGGCGCCAGCGGCGGATTACCTTAGTAACCCTGAGTTTTCGCTTACCTGGCGATTGGCTCGGAATCGGCTGCCTCTCAATGACAAGGCTTTCATATGGGGTTTGGCGGATTTGCCAGACTGTGAACGGTGTGGTCCTGGTTTAGAAGAAACGGCTTCGCACGCCTTCTACCATTGCCCCCGGGTTCGCCCCTTATGGGACCATGTCGGCGAGCTGACTGCTCGTCTCGCTCCCGAACAGCTTGTGTCCATTGATCGCGCATACGCGTGTGACAATGTGTCGCCCCCGTATTCCGGGGAGAAACGAATGGTGTTTCTGATACTGATGGCCACGGCTCGAATGGTGATTTGGACGACGCGCATGGAGGAAGTCTTGCGGGGCAACCGACTTTCTTATCTGCATCTAATCCAATTCTTTGAGCATCAGCTCAAGATGAAGATTAGATCTGATAGAAAACGATTGCATTCGACAGTCTTCAGCGAAAGGTGGATGAAAGAGGCAAGCTTGGTTCGTGTGACCGGGGCTAGCCTTGATTTTCTTTTCTAGGTCAACCTATAGCACATCGGGGTGGCTTCCCGTGGAACCCTCCCCTTGGTTAGATTAGACAAGCTTAAGTGTACCTAGTTAATGTGAGTAAGTGTAGTTCCTGGCCTGTATCCCGGCTGCTCTTTGGTTATGGTCCAGGTCGAGATTCCCAACCTCCCCAGTTTGTTTTGGTCCCCTTTTATCTCGACTGGGTCATCTTTACATTTTCCCATGCCCGGATAATATTTTATCCTTTTTCCCACTCCCTTAGCGAGAGCGCTTCTTGATTCTGCCCCTTGGGCAGAATACAGCGGCCTCTCTGTTTTGAGGGTTGGACGGTTCCTACTAACATATGTTTAGTTTGCATTTTGTGTGTATTTTTAGTTATTATTGGGTTCATCTCCCTCCCCTTGCATTCTATCATTATTAGAATTTTATGTATATCATTTATGTATCATCAAATTTTTATGGATTGGGGCGCGTTTTGGTAGGTTCCCCTGGAGAGGATGTGGTATTATGGTGGTTGGAGGATTGAATGGTGATGGACAAGTTTTTTTGGTGAATGAGTAAATTGTAATGTATGAATGGGTCGTGAATCTGATTAGCTAGGTATAGGATAGTTAGTTTGGACCAGCCTTTTCCCCTCCCTTTTTTGGCCTTGTGCCGCAATTCTGTACATTCGTACCGAATAAATAACCTAGTACACAGTACCCAAAAAACTGCAACAGTGTTTGCATATAGCGAACATATATATATATATATATATATATATATATATATATATATATATATGGGGGTGAGAAAGAAAGGTAAATGGACATCAAACCGCTAGAAAAAAACTATAAATAGCGAAACTATAAATATGAAAAAAGAAAAAAAAGAGATGAACAAAATGGAGTCACCCAGTGAAAGTAATAAGGATATTGTCAATGTCAATAACGAGTCCGCCATTTTGCCCTTTAATAAACACTGCTTTTTGCGACTTCCGCTAATTATTCCACCTGGTGGACATGAATCGAATCTAACATTTCCGGTAATCTAATAGGAATGCTATGGCACCTTGTCGTTGTCTTCATCTCTGAATTCTTTCTTTTCTGTGTAATATGTCTTTCATCGTCTTAGGGATTTTGTGCTAACGACAGAACATAATTGATTTTTCTTGTTTAGAATGGATGTCGATAGCCGCTTGATGTGTTTTCTGAGGAATTTTTCATCCTTTCGCTTTTTCCTCTATATCTGATCAATGTCGACATTTTTGTTTTCTTTCTTTCTTTCTTTCTTTCTTTCTTCTTTCTTTCTTTCTTTCTTCAATTAGTTTTACTCTTTCTATTTTTCTTCTTTCCTGAATTTAATTTTTCATCTTTTGTTTATTTCTTTTTTCTTTCATTTTCAATTATTTTTTCCTTTTCTTTTTTTCCTGATTTTATTTTGTTTTCATCCTCTTTGTTTTTGTCTCTGTTGTTCTTCAATTCATTTATTTTTCCATTTCTTCTTTTCTTTCTTTCCTGAATGTTGTTTGTTTTATCCTCTCTTTCTTTCTTTCTTTCTTTCTTTCTTTCTTTCTTTCTTTCTTTCTTTCTTTCTTCTTCACCTTCATTAATTTTTCTGTTTCTTCTTTTCTTTCTTCCCTGAATTTACTTTGGTCTATCCTCTTTTTCTTTTTTCTTCAGTTAATTTCTTAAATTTTTCCTTTTCTTCTTTTCTTTCTTTCCTGAATGTTGTTTGTTTTATCCTCTCTTTCTTTCTTTCTTTCTTTCTTTCTTTCTTTTCTATATTTACGTCGTCTTAATTTTAATTCTTTATTTTTTATGTATCTTTTTATTTCTTTTATTTTTTTTGTTTATTTCATCAATTTACTTATTTCGTCTCTTTTTCTTCCGTTTTTCTTTCTTTCTTTTTCTTTCTTTTCTTTTAATATATTATATATATATATATATATATATATATATATAATTAAACCTAAAGAGCCAGATAAACCTACCAAGGTTTCAACTACACGGAACTTCAGTGTTCCCTGGCGATCCGCATAGGTGAAAACTAGGTAGGTTTATCTGGCTCTTTAGGTTTAATTAGGTTTGCTCTACTTAGCGTATTGAGCATTTTACTTAGTTATTTTTCTTACTCGTATCGGGATATTTTTTGTCTTTGGACTCTAAACATGGATGCTAGACGATTGTCTTCGGCTGACGTACATGTTCTCTGTTCTTTCTTTTTTTGTACCCTTTTTTCCCTTGGTCTGTTCTTTCTTTTTTTGTACCCTTTTTTCCCTTGGGTATTGGTCTGTTTATTTGCATATCAAAGTACCCAGGGTTTTCCCGGACGAGTATAACTTTTATATAAGATTATTTTCACATACATACATATATATATATATATATATATATATATATATATATATATATATATATATATATAGATAGATAGATAGATAGATAGATAGATATAGTTTTTATTTGAAAAATATTTTACATCGTTGCATAAAAATTTCTATATTTCGGAACACAATAATTGCTCCATCATCAAGCGATGAAAAGATTTACTTTTGAAATCAGAAAACAGTCTGGTAGCTAAGATAAAAAAAATGATTTAAAAAAATGTCAAAATTTTAAAAATGTCTTTCTTTCTTTCTTTCTTTCTTTCTTCTCCCTGTGTCCATTCTTTTTAAACTATTTCTTCATTTCTCTGATTTTAGCATCATTATTTCTTTCTCTCTTTCTTCTTTCTTTCTCGATTCATTTCTTCCTTTTTCTTTCTTTCTTTTTTCTTTCTTTTTTTCTTTCTTTCTTTCTTTTTTTCTATCTTTCTTCTCTCTGTGGTCATTGTTTTAAAACTATTTCTTTATTTCTTTGCCTTTTGTATAATTATGTCTTTTTCGCTACTTTCTTTCTTTCTCGTTTCATTCATTCGCATTTTTTTCTTTCTTTCTTTCTTTCTTTCTTTCTTTCTTTCTTTCTTTCTTTCTTTCTTTCTCCATTCTTTGTATCATTATTTACTTATTTCTTCCTCCTTTTCTTTCTTGTTTTATTTCTTCCTCTTTCTTTCTTTCTTTCTTTCTTTCTTTCTTTCTTCTCCGCGTGCTCTTTCTTTCTTTCTTTCTTTCTTTCTTTCTTTCTTTCTTTCTTTCTTTCTCCATTCTTTGTATCATTATTTATTTATTTCTTCCTCTTTTTCTTTCTTGTTTTATTTCTTCCTCTTTCTTTCTTTCTTTCTTTCTTTCTTTCTTTCTTTCTTTCTTCTCCCCGTCTTCATTCTTATTAAACTAGTATTTTATTTCTTCTTCTTTCTTTCTTTCTTTCTTTCTTTCTTTCTTTCTTTTTTTTCTTTCTTCCCGTTCTCATTCTTATTAAACTAGTATTTTATTTTTTCTACTTTCTTTCTTTCTTTCTTTCTTTCTTTCTTTCTTTCTTTCTTTCTTTCTTTCTTTCTTTCTTCTCCGCGTGCTCTTTCTTTCTTTCTTTCTTTCTTTCTTTCTTTCTTTCTTTCTCCATTCTTTGTATCATTATTTATTTATTTCTTCCTCCTTTTCTTTCTTGTTTTATTTCTTCCTCTTTCTTTCTTTCTTTCTTTCTTTCTTTCTTTCTTCTCCCTGTGTTCCTTCCTTTTTTCTTTCTTTCTCTACTCTTTGTATCATTATTTCTTTCTTTCTTTCTTTCTTTCTTTCTTTCTTTCTTTCTCCTAACGAAGGCCGGAGAGAACAACTACCAAAATCTGATTAAAAATCAATAAGGTCGTGAAGATTAATCATTAAAAGTCAATAGTCAATCATTAGAATATATCATTTAAGAAAATAAGACGAAACAATGCGAAACGATAATTATTCCACAATTTTAAATTAAAAAAAAATGTTATCTTTTTTATTAATCTAACACCAAGTATTTAAAAGCCTGAACTTAGCTAAGACTTGAACTGGGTCACCAAGATATTTGATGCCGAAGAGATTTTTTAGCATTTATCAGGAAGTTTTGTCGTCGCGTGTTGACACCTCAGGATAAAAGAAAATTAAAGGGAAGAAAACTTAAAAGAACAACCTAAAAATGCTTGCTAATCAATGCCGGAATTGACAATAAATAAATAAACTAAAACTGAAAATAAAAAAAAATAAAGCAGCTATTAAGTTTCAAGGTTGTACGAAACAGATGAAAATTAGAAACAGTCATTTTTCGTTTTCCTTCTCAATGGCTGATTTGGTAAAAAGCCGTGAAAAACAGACAGAAAGCCGATTTAGAAAGAAGAAAAAGGAACTTATTATAAACAAGCTTAAATTTGGGGGAAGCGAATATCGAATATTGATTAACAAGCATAAAATCGTCTGAAGGAATTTCTAGGAATTTGCACAGAAAATATTGGTTTATTTAGATTTCTTAAATTTTTTTAATTTTTCCTTTTATATTCATTGTTTCCGTTGTAGTTTTTTTAATTCATTTTTTTTTCCTTTAGATTCTTTTTTATTTTTTTAACTTTCAGTTTTCGAATCGGGCTTTCTTTCTTTTTTTTTTCAGGCATCCATAGTTTTCTTTCTTTCTTTCTTTCTTTCTTTTAGTATCCAGCGTTTCTTTCTTTCTTCCTTTCTTTCTTTCTTTTAGTATCCAGCGTTTCTTTCTTTCTTTCTTTTTTTCTTTCTTTCTTTCTTTCTTTCTTTCTTTCTTTCTTTCTTTCTTTCTTTCTTTCTTTCTTCTAGTAGCCAGTGTTTTTCCTTCGTTTCTTCTTCTCCTATGCATCGTTTACGTTATTTCTTTCCTTCTTTCTTTCTTTCTGTCTTCCTTTTTTATTTTCATTTACTTTCTTTTTTCTTTCTTCTAATATCCAACGTTTTTTCTTTTTTCTTTCTTTCTTTGTTTCTTTCTTTTAGTATCCAGCGTTTCTTTCTTTCTTTCTTAGAGATAGATACATACTGATTAGATATATATGGACAAAGATTTATAGATAAATAATCATTCCCATCTAACAACATATATATATATATATATCATACATATATATATATATGTACACATATATATGATAAATATATATATCAAAACGTATAAATATTATATATTCAGTTTGATTGTTGAAGACCATATAAAAATATATATAT